TCTTGATCTCTCTCTCTCTCTCTCTCTCTCTCTCTCTCTCTCTCTCTCTCTCTCTCTCTCTCTCTCCAATACTCTCACACTCTCGTTCATCTCTCTCCCGCCTCTCGTATATACCCCACACACAGATCTACACAAATACACACATATTAGGTACTTGACAAACTCTCACTTCTTAAGTTTTTTAAAGTTAAGTTTTTGTAGACGTTTTACGGCGCTCGCAACTGTATACGGTCCTATGAGCGCCAGAAGATTAGATGTGTTACAAGAGAGTAACAAACATAAAAAAGAAGGAGGGGGAGAGAAGGACGATAGACGTTTGATAGGAAAGAAGAAGCAAACCACACCAGAGCACCCGCCAACCATCAACTCTCACTTCGTTTGGATTGACGTATTTCTCGCCATAGTTTCGTTAAGAAGCTTCTCTGTTTTCAGTCTCTGCAGAAAAGCGTAATTCTCATCAAACTCTTTCTCATTCAACGTAAGAAAGGCCCATGTCTCGCTCGACAGACCCTCCTTTTGGAGACGTTTCTTAACGCTGCGCGCATCTGTTGTGATCAGTTTCGTCTTCTTCCCGCCAAGCTGCGCAAATCTGACGTTTTTGATCGCAGCGGGGACCATTCCGTAGAGGAACACATCGTCGATCCAGAAAAAATCGAGGCGTTTAGCAGCCTCGTACATGGGTCTGACCAGGTCGGGGGTCACCAGAACGAAGAAACCGCTGCAGTATGGAAACGAATAGCTCTCATTTCGGAAGAGTCCTCTCTCCACCTTCCATTTGCCAGTTCGATCTACAGTCGCCCCGAGCCAGAAGTTGCAGAAGATTGTGTTGATTTTCCGCGAAGGCTCCCGTGTGGTCCAGAAAGTGTCGAAGAACTTTTGCACGTCGAGTAAAACATCGTCGTCCATTTTGATGAGCAGAGGGAAGTCTTTGCATTTTTCTGCCACCCAACGGTAGCCCATCACGGCCTGGGGGATTGTATGAATAAAAGTCAAGAGAAGCACAACGGCACAGTAAAAGTCATATAGTATAGTGCAGGGTAAGAAGAAAGACAGCCAATCAGAAATAACAGAGGGAAAGAGAAGAAGTAGGACCAACCACTGACGTCCTGAAACCACCTGCCTTGAGGATTGTAATGTTGGAGTTACACAAAATAAACCCTGTAAAAGCAGGCTAAACTTTAATACCCCCCCCCCCCTTATACCATCATTATCATTGCCCTTCTCACCCTGGATCAGGATAGAGGCCACGGACAAACACCTTCCACCTTTCCCTATCCTGGGCTAGTCACTCCACGTCTTCCCGTTTTACTGTACATCCATTTCCGTGACTCTTCTCCAGGTTCCACGTGGTCTTCCCCTTGATCTTTTACCCTGTGGGTTCCAATCTAACACTTTCCTTGTTGTGCAGCTGCTTGACTTCCTGAAAGTTTGCCCCTGATAACAACCGAAATAATTTCGGTTAAGTGATCTATATTTTATAATTCTGGAGTCACCAACATTTGTTTTAACTTTAAAAAAAAAAGAAGAAGAAACCACCCTTGAAACCAAACAAAAGAAAAAGACATCAACAAACAAAACAATCAGCCGTTGCATTTGGTAAATTGACCGAAACCAGGGTAAGCATAGAATTTACTTGTCGTGTTTCTATTTTTATAACGGTTGCCATGCCCATCCTTACCTTCAGAGTGAGATTCTGATACGTGTCCAAGAACTCGCCGATCAGTGTGTCTCCATAGCGACGGTTTTCCTGCTCTAATTTTATCTGCAGATCTGCCTTTCGCACATGACCAATCAGAAACACAACCTGAAAGAAAGATTTTAAAGCAACATAATATCGTGCTGATCTCGGGGTAGAGATTGTTTCAGAATGCAAAAGTAGTGCTTCTTCATTTCGGTATGGTGTGTGTGTGTGTGTGTGTGTGTGTGTGTG